ATTACAGTTATGAAGTAGCAACGAAAATAATTTTATGGTTGGGTCACAACATGAGGAACTGTATGTAAAGGGCCAGAAGGTTGAGAACCACTGGGCTAAAACAAGGTAACTAAGTATGGTCTGCCTATGGAACTCTAAGCTGGGGCATTCAAAAATGTAATATTTTAAAGGAATGCAAAGAGTTACTTGGTCCTTTGGCATTTAAAGCAAGGGGCCTCTACAAGTCCAGAAAATGCAAGTCTAGGTCTCTAACAGGACATTATCCTGACTGTAGAAAAGTCATCTTCAGGGGCCTTGGCAGTCAGTAGGAATATGGGGAAATCTTAGTGCACTGACAATAAAAGTAACATGAATATATCAATAACTCTAGGGTAGAATGTGTTTTACAGTAGAAAATCACACCAAATCCTATTTGCACACTGAAATAAACAGCACTGGCTTGTCTTTTCTGTCTACAGGCAACACTGTGAGTCAGAACCGTGAATACTGTCCTCAGGGTAACACTGTAGCATAAGATTAATAAGTTTTGGTCATTTTTATTGTAATGCCAATGTACCCTTCACATTCCATTTCTGTGCTAGTGTAATAAGATAAGGTTTCTGCATCACTTACTATCAAATGCCCATATAAAATAGCCGGCAAACCAATGCTATAGAACACATTCTTTTCCATATCTCTCCCAAGAATGCATATTATTCAAATAAGATGATCCAAGAGCCTTCTACACAGCATCCTGTGCCCCAATAAAAAGGCGCAGGGAAGATGAGGTTTTGAATAGAGGGATGGGTAATTCACCTCCCACACTCATATTTGAAAGTGATGGAATTTGATACTGGACTGTTAAAAAAGCAAGACGGCAACAGTAATAACAAATTACGGAGTTATACTGAATAGCTTTGAAAAAGCAGGGACTTTTTTATTTTATTTTCATAAGTTCACCTCTGAAAAATAAAATACTATGGTTTTTACTTTTCCATTGTGACCCAGACACTTCTTCACTATAACCGTCAAAGCCTTAGATAGAAGGGACATTGAACTAACTTTTTTAAAGTAATATTTTGGATAGATCCAAGCAGATGACAAAACTGACATTTTCTATTGCCCGAATGCAAACAGCATAGATTCACCGTGGTCAACATTTACAAATGTATGTTTTTCATTGGCTAAAAACCAAGCTAAATGTGGGAGTATTTATTTGAGCTTCATATTGCTTATTAATGTGGGGGGTATAAAATTCAGAACATTTAACAGTTTGTGTAGCTACTATTGAGAACCCAGGCACGCATTTGCTTATGATACTCAGAAAACACTATGGCTGAGTATACAGCTACGGGACACCATGGAATCATCAAATACGTACTCTAGCTATGACATGGGGCATCTACAAGAGAAAAAGACAGTGCCATGTCCCATGAAGAAGCTTTCTAATCCCTTGTTAGAAAGCCTATTCTCTGTGGTTTATGGCCTTAATTCTTTTTCTTTTTGAAAAGAATACAAAAACATAAAGAGTAAAAATTAAATTCCTATCACTCCTATTTCCACTGGCTTTCCCCTGAGAACTGCTTTCACCATTTATTGTGTACCCTTTCAGAAATATTTTATACATATAAAAATTAATCTATATCTAAATCTCATACTACTCCATGATTCTATCACAATACCTTTCCATTATATCTTATACTAGAATTGTCTACATGTCCATTGTCCTTGATACGATGCAAAAATTTTATTTTTTCAAACATATATCATCAAAATGATTTTAAATAGAGCGATAGATAGATACTCTAAAGAAAAAGAGTTTGTTGAACTCAACTGAGTCAGCATGAAGAAGTGTTTAGTAATATTAACTGGGTAAGAATGAGTTGCAACTGTATCATTGGATATCATTTGTTCTATGTAAAATGGGACCAGTTTTCATTCCTACGGTAATAAATATTTCTTTCTCTGTTCAGTTACTGTTCTCTGAGGAAGGTTTAACTGCTAGATGGCATGCAGCAAAATGAATAGGGAATAAAATACTTTATTCTGGATTCATGCTAGATTCCTCAATAGACTAACTTATCTAAATCAGATTTATACCTCTAAAAGGCATGTACTAATGTTTACTCAAGGGACAGTACATTAATAATATATTTGTGGTTATTTTGATATCTTACATGCATAGAAATGATTGTTCTACTAGGTTTTTTTGCACATTTTATAAATAGATAATAAAACCAAAGATGAGCAAAACATTTTTAAAATCATCTATATGAAGTATGAAATGAATAATATTAATTAGCTACTATCCTCTCTTTCTTTTCAATTTTACTATATAACATGTTTATTTTCTTGTCACAATGGATAGTATAAGGCTTCCAAAACTTTATTATTAATCTAGGATATGAGAAAGTCATGGGCAGTTTGGATGTTTTGAGTGAAACTAGAGGTTGTATTTAAGGAGAAACAGATTAAGGCATTACATGGGGACACAGTGGGTCGATGTCGGGAAGGGAAATGGTTCTAATGCCAACTTGCTGGAGCCAAACAGATGTCATCAGTTACATTTCTATTTCTGACTTGGCATGCACAATGCTAGGTTAAACAGTCTATAAAGATGAATACGACATGGGACCTGCCTTCATTAATAGTCCAGTAGGGAAATAAATGCCAGGGTCAATGGATACATGATAAAAAGACTCAAATGTATCATGGGAACATCAAATATACTGCAATGGTAGCATCCACATTTACACTAATGATTACATTATACCATTCAGGGTGCCTTTAATCCTTACCAAGTCTTAGGAAAAGGTACTGTTACTATTGTCTCCTCCTTCACAGAGGAGGAAGACAAACAACTTGTCCACTTCTGGTGAATGACAGCCTTTGGATGGGTATTTGGGCAGGCTGGTTCTGGAGTCTGCACTCTTAACCACTGCTTATACTGCTTCTCTTATGACTAATTGTGTAACCAGCTCTGCCAGGTATGATGTGATGTTGTTCTTTAAATGAGAGCTGTATACACAGAAAGAGAGAAAGAAAGGAAAAAGGAGGGAGGGAGTGAAGATGAAAGGGAGGGAGAGAGGGAGAGAGGAGGGAGGGAGGAAGGGAGGGAGAGAAGAGGAGGGAGAGGAGGGAGAGAGAGAGAGAGAGGTATTGAGAGAGAGAGAGAGAGATTACCATGCCTGAGACCCAGGCAGACAGAATTCCATGAACAACAAGACACAGGGAAGTAAAATTGTGTGAAATATTCTGAGAATCACAGAAGGTCCAGTTCAGTTTCAGAACCAAACCATGTAGTTCTTTTCGTGCCATTCTTGGAAGCCCTAATTTTGTTCTGCAGATAGTAAAGTCCACCAAATACTTCAAATCTGGCAGGTAGATGATTCCTAAGATCATATTTTGCTTTTAAACAATTATTGAAAAAGCAATGGGAAATGGTTTGGAGAAGAGTTATAGTAGAGGCAGGTAAAAGTTTAGCACAGGAAAAGAATGGTGAATGAATGAACTCAACAAGTAGCCGGTGGACGGGCTGAGTGTTGAAGCTATAGTTATATATCGAATAAAATTTAATGACCAATTTGATCATGAAGAATTTTGGAGAAGAGAAAAAAACAGAGAACTGGAGTTAACAGTCTAAATTACTTCAGAGTGAATGAAAACAAGAAACAATTTGATACTTATTTTTCATTTGCATTAGTTTGGTTTATATTATGAAGAGTTGATAAGGGTAATGACCTATTTGGGACATATAAAGATATCCAGTAGCTATACCTAATAAGCTGTTAGAAACACAGGTTATAAAGCTGTGCATCTGGTTATGAACTTGAAGACCAGACCTGGGAGTCTTCAGTTCCTAAGAGCGAGAGCAGTGGATGAGATCACCAGAGAGAAGACAATGAAAAAAGACTAAGCTCTGAGAAAGATGAGCAAAAGTGGGCAGAAGAGGTGTAATAAGAAGATACTGAATGATCAGTAAGAGTGGGGAGCAAAGAGGATCAGCAAAGGAAGGAGTTGTGGGATCCAAATGAGAAATTTCAGGAAGGTATAAATGGGTTAAAAATATGCCAGATGAGGCAAGATTTCAAATAGAAGGCTCAAAAAGTTACAGTTGCAAATGGAAAATTCAGAGATCATTGAGGGCATCAACTAGGGCAACTCCAGTAAAGTTTGAGACCAGACTTCATACTTTAATGGGATTAATTAGAGAAGAATACAGAGAGACAGCATGTATAGAAGACTGAAGTTGTGGACCTGTGGAAAGAAGGGAGAGACGTGAGTATATCTGTAGGCTGAAAGGAATGGTCAGTGTACATTGTACAGGAAGGTATTGAAGGCGGGGATGGGTTGATGGACATACATTCTGTATCAGAAGAGAGTAGATGAAATCAATGGGTATCCTCAGCATCTTAAATAAAATTGGTTTCATGAGGGAAATATTCATTATTGTAAGTATCTAATAAGTGGCAAGAAGAGAGTGAACCATTTTGCAACTGTTGAAATAGTTCAAAGAATCCAACACTGAACTGTTAACAGAAGACACAGATAAAGACACATCGCATAGCAGTGACCTAAGATAAAGAGATATATCTCAGTCTATGGCAACAGGGCACAGAGGTGGTGACCTGCAGGAGAAGGGAGAAATGTTCCCTGTCTACCAGGCAGTCCTCACTGCCTCAAACATGGCACCGCCCAGAGTTCACCTTTGGCTGCTCAGACTGGGAGCTGAAACTTCACTCTTTCCCCTTTCGGTTTGTAATAAGTAAGGACAGTTCCAGAGAGAACATAGAGAGTTTAATATGGGCAGAGGTACTGGGAGACTGGGTGACATGGGAGAGGCTCTGAAGTCAGAGTCACTCATGGGCACAGAAAAAAATACAATGGTGAGAAATGTTTGGTTTATCATTTTGGTTTAGAGATTTAAAACAAAAGACAGACTTGAACATTTTTCTTCAGTACTGATTTCAGAGCTCAGAGACATCTTAGCAATTAGAGTAGAGAAAATGTGGGCTACTTACCCATTTTGTATGGCAGCTGTGGGGTCATAGGTCAGAGCCATGCCAGCCTGCATAGAAGAGGGAGAGGAGAGAAAACAAATCTTAACATTTTTATTGTGGTGTCCCAAACTTTCACTGCACACAAAGACTTTTATCTTTCCTTTCCTTGATTTAAGTTTATTTTCTCCTACATATTTCTCCATTGACAAGACAAGCATTTTTACTATCCACACACCAGAATCCACCAGTGAGTTGGGGAGTTTATATTATACATCCAGACAAACCAAGGCACAATGCAGCTTGGAGGATTTCCATTTCTACTTCATAAACCATCAATTTCTCACTATTGTCAAAACCACCTATTGTACATCTCATGGCAAAAAAAAAAAAAAAAAAAAAAAAAAAAAGGAAGGCTGAATCCTGCAGTCAGAACAAAAATAAAAGCTCCTTAAAATGCATTGGACCTTTTAGAAGAAAATGTTAATAAATATTTATTTTAAAATAGATCGCATGCCTCAGGGGTATGTAGGTAATGAGTCAGGGAGTGCTTGTCCAACACATTGCTAGTACCTGTCCTACTAAGAGTGGTAGGAAAGGAAGGTCATTTACACTTGATGGAAATTCTTGGCCTGGTGGCTAATAAGGAAGTGGTTTTATTCTGTTTCTAAGAAGAAAACTACCTCTGAAAAACTACACTTTGGTAACTGGCAATATTTTGAGAAAAGAATAGAAACTTTCATGATTGCTGATGCACAGCTTACCTCATCCCTTCCTACACATCATCACACTTGATCCTCACAAAACCCTATGAAGTAGGCAGGAGAATATTTTCTCCATTTTATTATATTTGAAAACCCTGAAGCTTGGAGAGGTCAAGTGACTTGCTCAAGGTCACATGTTTGGTGGTAGAACCTGATTCCAACCAAAGCCTTCAGATGTGGGCTCTGCTGTAACCTTGACCTAGGAATTGAATGAGAGTTGAGCATCACCTCTAAAGATGTGCAGGGACTTTCTCTGTGGTCCTATGGGCAGACCACCCTTTGTTTTCCAGGATTGCCAACCTGGTTATCACTTAGTGTGAGCAGAAAGAGAATATAGAATGACATTTAAAACTGATTAGGTTGTCTTTAGGGTGTATTGTTTTTTTCCTCTTTTGAAATTTAAAAGTGAATTAGACCAATGTCAATTCCCTGGCTTTGTTAGTTTCCTATAATTATTATGAAAGATGTAACCATTGGGTGAAATGAGGTGAGGGTATACAAAACCTCCCTTTTCATTTCTTTTGTAATTTCTGTGAATCTATAACTATTTCAAAATTAAAAGTAGGACAAAAAATGCAAATGATTGTTGAGGACTTTTTTTAGAGAATAAGAAAAATCATTAAAACTTTAAAGAAAAGAAAAAAGAGCTTTTGTTTTTGAGTTTCTTCCAGTTGGATGAAGGTGGTTTTCCTGTTAGGCTTGCTGAATTCCTCAGATTTAGCACATAACTGAAACATAAATCCTCTGGCTTTCTAGGGTAGTTCCTGAAGTCCAGTATGACATGCTACAGTCAAGCTTAGATTATATGCATTCTTTTCCCTAAATAATAAGTTTTAAATTATTACTAAGATTGGTATGAGGAATAAACCTGTAGAGCCAAATATGAATGGGATTAGCATACAGCGAGCATGAATAAATTCAAATGGAGATTGCAAACAACATTGAATGACTCAGGAGTTAATAGAGGAGCACTGAGAACACATGTTTAATGATAACTGAATCTTACTCATGTTAAAGAAATAGACAACTGATAATATGACAAGTAGAGGGGAATGGGAAATGAGATAAGAATAAAAGAGCAGAAACAAAGGCAAATATTTATTTATTTATTTATTTAGCCTCTGGTGCAAAACACATAGAGATCCAAAGTCTCAATTCTTTCCAGGGATGGGCCTCTGCCTTGTGACCGGCAAGAGGAAGGTCCTTGCTTGAAGACTTCCCAGAATAGAGAGGTCTAGGTGAGCTGAAACTCCCTGGTCCCGGGTGCTATTGAGGATAGTTGTAAAAGCAGTCCATTTGGGATGAGACTTCTCTCTTAAAAGCACTAAGCTTCTTTCCCCTAACTCACCCAAGATGCCACACCAGGGCAGAATGACAAAAATAGACTTCATACTCAACAGAGATATTGTCAGTTCAAGAGAGATTAAGAGTGATCAGCAGAGCTTCAGTCTCCTAACCACCCCAAATGGTTAAAATCCTAGGGGATTTATCAGAAGCCTTTCCTAGTCAACCCTACATTTACTTCTTTTCCTTGTACTTATTTCCTAGTAGTGCTCAAATCCAATGCTATCTAGCCTTTCTTGAATTACAAATTTTCTTGAACATTGTCTTCTTATGTTGTATTTATTCTGGCAACTCTAGGTACGGATTTTTTATTTTCTTTCATATTTTAATTGAATTCCTCATGGGCTGTCATTAACCAATCAGTTCTACCTAGGAATACAGTAATTACTAATACATTCTATTTGTCGAATACATATTTGACCATTAGAAAGGCTAAGTTGGCCTCTTCCTCCAGCTTACAGCTCCATCCATCTTTCAAAAGATGGGAAAGAACTAAAAAATGGCAACATGGTTCAGTGGAAAGAATGTATGTTTTGGATCTGGGTATAGGTCTTTGCTCTGTTACTTTCTAGCAGTGTGGCCTTGGGCAAATTATTTAACCTACTTGAGCCTCAGTTTCTTTAGCCGTTAAATGGTAGAGTAACACCTACCTCATGGGATTGTTGTGAAATTTAAATGAGATTATGTTTATAAAAGACCCAGCACAGTGCCTGGAGATAAGACATACACATAAATATTATAATACAAAGTTAGAAGTGGTAAGTGTCATAGGAGTGGTACAGATAAGGTGTGGAGGAGAGAAGCTGGGGTGATTAGGGAAGATACTTGGAGGAGGTACAGCTGAGTGGAGCCTTGAAAGATGATTAGGATTTCCATGAATGAAGATGAGTGGTGAAGGCCTGCTCAAGCAAAAGGAATTGTATGGAAAACAGTGTGTAAATAAAAAGGGCAGTAGAACACTGGAGGGGAGCCATGGGAAATAAGACTCCAAAGGAAAAGAGGGACCATCTTGACTGCCTGGCTCCTCTTGGGGAGCCACTGAACATTTTTGAGCAAGAAAATTATACAATCAAAGAGGGACTGGACAACAAGAAACAGTATGAGCCTCCGGGAAAACAGGGTAAATCCAAAGCAATGAGCAATGGGAATAGGCACTTGGGGACAGGGAAGTAGACAGAATCTAAGGTGAGACTGTCATTGCAAAAGGATAGGGAATAAAAACAAGTTTCACCTACTTCATGATTTTGCCTAGGGACAGTCCTGCCTCTCAGTACCTTTGGCAAGAGGAGACAACAAGAGATAGCGTCAAGTCATATGCATTTGGAACATTCTGGGTAACAAAACAAGGCATGGGTTCAACAGAAGGTTGTTTGAACTTCACCTGTTGGCTGAACATCATAACACAATAACGAACACCTGACCTGGTTTTCATTTCATGTGTAATAGATGGTTGAATTATAATTCTAGGATGGCCTTAATGCAGATTTTGCATTCAATTTCCTTTTGTTTCCTTCCATTAAGGTAAAAAAGAAAATCAATTTTGCTGCTTTGTCTAGCTACCTTTATACTAAGCTAGAACCATGAAATCATCATTATGTAATTACCAAATTTTATGGCATGTTTACAAACTCTGGAGTCACACAAAAATAAAATAACTTGGAACAAAGTGAAAATGTCACACCTCATATGCAGAAAACTGATATTTAATCCTGTCAATCTTTTTTTTTTTTTAAAAAAAGGCTTTTAGATTAACAAATAACTTCTATTTCTCAAGTTCACATTTTTGTGTGCTAGAGGCGATTATAATTTATTTAAAACAAAAAGGGGCATTTTTGTCATTTTTCAGCAGCAGATGAATTTTGGCTTAGTATTTTGACCTTAATGGAATATGTCTAGTCCTTCCTTATAGAGTCTATACTAAAGAGCTAAATATTTTAGAAGAAATATAAAAATATGGCTTATTGGAGAAATTAGGGTTTCATAATCATTTTTAGTATTATAGGAAATTCACTAAGACACATTAGGTTGACTTTGGAGCTAAATATTTATATTCATAATTTTACATGATTAGCAGGTTAAATGGAGAGGTAAAAAATATAGAAATGCTGCTTAAATATACATATTAGGAAATAGGTATTAGCACTTTGAAAAGTTCTTCTGAGATGCTTGGCCTCATTGGAGAAGCAGAGGATCATTGGCTCTAACAAAGCCAATGAAAAGGTAGGCTGGCAGAATCGTTTTGATCACTTTTCAAATTATTTTTACACTGTAATGTGAACGGGGATCAAAAAGTTTGAGGCAGTAAACTTTATACAGACAGATACGCACTGAAATTCCTGGAAACTGAAACATTAATGTTTTAGCTTAACATTTCTCCTTTTTCTAAATTCTGCCCTGACACATGAGTCATCAAAATTGGATGAGTTACCGATGAATAATCCCAAGGATTTCCAATCTTCTGTGATCAGCTTTAAAGCAACACTTTAGTAAATATGTGGTAAATATTTTAGTAAATATTTACCACATTACTACAAGATGAGTTCAGAAAGGCAAAGAAGATATTTTCTTGATGTCATCTTTAAGGAGTTTATTTCTTGCAACCAATTTTAACAATATTTACAACTGTTGGTTGGTGATGGTCAAATCACTAAATAAAATAAGATGACTTACTAGTAAAAGATGATGTGTGAAAGGGACTTGAAAATGTGTTATACATGTTTAGGTACTGCTTCTATAGCAAAGTCTCACTTAACTTGGTTTATATTTATTTATCAGTATTTCTCTTTAGAAAACATACCTTTTAGTGAAGAAGTCATGATACAAAATTATATGTACATATATGTCAACAAATAAAATTTAAAAAATTTAAATCTCTGACTAGAAATAAAACAATTTTAACAGGGGTAAATGTGAAAATGTTGAGTCATATGACCATAAATGATAGTATTTCCTTTCATATATTTTTTCTGACTCTTTTAAGTTGTATATAATGAAAATTACTTTTATAATGGCGAAAAACACCTTTTCTTATAAAACAACAACACATTATATACTTTACAACTTGTTTAAAATTTAAATTTAGGAAGGGGAAAAAAGGTATGTCATTTGTAAAAGAACTATTGAGCAGAGGCCTGATTCAGAAATATGCTTGGAGATGTCAGGAGATGTGTAGTTTCGCTGGGTCGATGAAATACAGAAGAGCTGGGGTTGGTGGGGTTACTACATCCAGAATGATCAAGGTAAGAATGGGCAAGAGGCCAAGAATAAAGACTGAAACTTCAGGGTTCATAGTACAGTGTTTCTTTTATAGTGGAAGCTGGAAAGAATTCATAAATCCAAATAGCCATACGGGCTGAGAAATGGAGGGTTTCCTATGTGACACCAGAAGTGTGGCTACCCAAGACAGTCATCAACCAATAAATATCACCAGAAAACCACAACCTCATGGATACCAAGTAAATCTTTTGGCCAAAGAAAAAGGGCTTTTAACCTACTTCCTGTTAAGAGAACTAATCCTCGGAAACAATACACAAGGGGCCAAGTTGAGGACAGGCTATTGGAGCCGTTACAGAAAGGGGATGAGAGAGAATGAAATCCTGGCCTTCTCAAGAGGCAAATGGTAGGGTTTTACCCGGGATTGGTTCTGCCATGGCCAGGTGACTATTGAATGCTTTTTTTCTGGGCCGGGGCAGTTAACCATGTAAAGCAGGTGTCTGCTCTCACCTGACAAAAGAACATCCCCTGGGCAATGTGTAACCACTGCCTCTCTGAAGAGAAGATGAGGGACAAATGAGACAGTAAACAAAGAAATTGCCAAAGCCTATAAAAGATAGACTACACTGCATGGCCCTGAGATAAGACAGCAACATCCAAGCTAACTGTCCATTAGGGAAGAGTTTAGACAAAGATCTTATATGCATGTCTGCGTTACCTATGGACACAGACAATAGGGTGGCAAGGGCCTGGGGTGGGGTGGGAACCGGGTGGAGGGGAGCTATGGGGGGGGCAAAAAGAGGGACATGTATAATAATCTCAACAATAAAGATTAAAAAAAAAAGACAATGCCCACCAACCTGTGAAATGGCTCTCACTATACTCCCTAATTTTCATAATATATGAATTCAAGGAATAGTTTTACTCCAAATTATACTTGATTAATTTGCATAATTTAATCAGTGATTTTTTTTTTCTTTCAAAACTCCTTTCCTTTGGTTTCTGTGAGCTTGTCCCCTAGTTTTCTTCTGACTGTTCAGAGAGCAATTTCTGCTTTGGTGTTACATGTTCCATCTGCCTTTGGGATGCCAGCACTCAGGGCCAGGGTTCACCCTTCTCCTCTCTCCTTCCATACAGTGATGACATTCACCTTCTGATTCCAACTATTATTTATGTCTGGGTGATTCTTGAATCTTGATCTCAAACTCAAGTCTCTATCCTGAATTCCAGACATTTATTGCCAAGTTAGATTAGTAAGTTTGAAGTATGGTCAACGTCTCCTATGAAGTTATCATTTCTTGTTTGGGTGTTTGCTAATATCCTTTGGTCATAACAGCTTCTCCTACTTTTGCTTGCAATATTTTTCTAATCCATCAGCCACACCGTTGCGCTTGAAGACTGCTCTTGCGAGAGGCAAATCCGACCACATAATGATTCTTCTTTTAGTGACATACTGTTATTTTCTAAATAAAACATGGCTCACAGAGCCCTTCATGATCAAGTCTTTATTCACCGACTGACGTCCATAATCACGCTGTGCAATTTTAGATCCTGTTCTTCACCAAACTCAGACATACACTCACCCTGCCCTGAACCTCTGGACCTTTGCTGCTGTAGTTTTTGGCTGGAAACTTTGCATCACTGTCTGTGGGAAAAATGAAAATTCTAGTCTTTCAGCCTCAAACTAGACATCGCAGACTCTTAAAGCCATCTCTGTCTCTCCTTGTAGTATTAACTGCTGCCTTTGTTCTGTCCCCGTGATTGAAGATGGGCGCTAATATGACTACACATTGTCATGTATGTTTCAACTAGATTCTTGCCTGTGTCCATAAGTGTTTGGAACATAATAGGGACTCAATAAATGTTTATTAAATAAGTTAATAAATACCTAATTGACCTAAAGACTATTTTGAATTTGGACTTCAGTTAAATTGGTATTTGAAAAAGGAATTTGAGTGTTTTTAAGTTTCCCTTATTTTATTAGTAAACTTTACTCTTCAAAACTTCCACTGAACTCAAACTTCTAAAGAAAATGTTTCAGCCTTTGATTGGTCAGTAGAGATAGAGGGAGACAAGATGAGTGTTGGAAATGCTCAGAGACCTTTCCCATGCAGCAGGGAAGCCAGTGTACCTGAGACAGATCATGAGTAGGAGCCTAGCAGAAGGAGGCCCCTCTTCTCCAAGTTACTGACCAAGAGTGGAGAGAAGAGGACTGTTAATTAAAAGTCATCTTGACATCTTCAAGCAAATGAGATGCAAAGGATTGATCACTTTAAAAAATAGCAACAACAAAAAAAGTCAATAAACAGAGAAAAATTCACCTCTTTATGTTTGGGAAAGAAAAACATCAGGGGGAGTCATGCTGTTGTTTATACACTATGCCGTCATGGAATTTCTCCTTTCTGGCTTTTACTAAAAGCATTCTTGTCAGATAGAGAACTTCTCTCTTATATAGCAACAGAGAACAAGATAGAAAGATTCAGACAGAATGAAGACTGGATGGCTGAGAAAGCCTATGGCTGCACAGAAAAAGCATTGTTAAAAAGGAAGCAGAAGAAAAAGTGTACTAGCATTGTATGATGTAGCCTGCTAAGATTCTCAAAGTCTTAAGGGAAAAAGAAGTCCTAGTTTGTCATTAAAACTGAAATTAAATTAAGCCTTGATTGATAACCATAAAAGAAAATAAGAGAACATTACTATATTGTATATATGAACTTCTGCTTTTATCTTAGTCTAAACAACTAAAACTGATTGATACTAAGACATTGCTTTTATTTCACATATTATTATCTGTGAAATTGGTACTGACATAATTGATGGCATTTGATAGCTTGGCAATTGTCTCTTCTTTTTTAGTGACATTTAAAATAACATTTCATCTTTAATTGATGGTGTCTTGGAACCAATAATAGGATGTCTACAGGGTGAAAAATATAAAATGCTGATGTTGCTAACAGGGCAATCCTGTGCATCTAGATAGGTGAAAGTCCCGGGTATCTGGTTAATTGGCCCATATTTATCTGGTCCCAACTACAGTTTGATGTTATTTGGAGGTTGGAGC